CTGCTGGTGTTCCATTTTAATAAAAGGAACGATGAAAAAAGAAACAGAATAGCTTTGTGATGCTGCAGGTGGGTGGAAGCCATGTTGGTCACGATGAGCAACTTGTAGCAAAAAATAGCGGTATAACTAGAAAATCCCATTTCCACATACATTTGCACATTCTCCTTTTTGCTCTTTGTTGTGCTGCTTCTTCCTTCATGGTTCTGCCTCCAGGACTATCCAGACTGTGCTTGGCCAGTGAGAAGGTGAGGAAGATCTGGAAGTAGCAGAAGATGGGGACAGTTTATGTGTGTAACTGAGGAAACTGAGAAAGCTTCCTAATCCAGCTCGGGGGGTGGGGGTGTTGTGTTTCATAAATTCAGGGCAGAGTAGTGCTGTCTCATTTGCTGTCTTATTACATAGCAGCCTGAAATGTTTTGGCTCGTATAAAGGGAAAGTTCAAAAGTCCTGTCTCTCTCAGTTGCTGTGAAGACACCGTTATTCAGCTGGTGTCCATCACTCCTGTTTCAGCAAACTCAGCTGGGCTAGGTATGTCTGCACCACCTGAAGTGTGGTGACCCTGAAATTTTTGTACGGGTTGCCACCGTGCCAACATCTCCATGAATGCCATTTTTTTTGCAAGTCAGCTATCAATACTGGGCAGCTCAGACGTCCTGGCGGTAGTGCTAATGGCCTTTGTTTTCAAGCCCTGCTAATGGCTAGGGCAAATTATGTTCCTAAATTTCAACTGATGATTTATACAAGGAATCCAGCTTTTTTCCACCCGTTGTTCCTAAAAGAGAGTGACTGTGTGTAAATGTATGACAGAGGAGGAAATTGCTGTTATTCATACAGCATTTATGTCTTTAAAGCATGATGAGATAACACAGTGTATTGTAATTACTGATGGTACTTGGTCGCTACTTTAAATGACTGACAGTGCTTTTAAGGAGCAGGTATAAGGAAGCTTCTCTAGTTTGATTGTGAGAAAACAGATACTTAATGTTAATTGGTAATTTCTCTGTCTTTGCTGTGTGTACTCTGTTTGCAGGTTACATCCTTTGCTATTTTTTTGGTATGACTTCCTTTAAGTAGACAGAGAGCGTGGAGAAGCAAAAAGAAAAGCATATGGTCCTGATTTCCTTTCTCTGTGATAAAGAGTTTCTTTAAGGCATTACAATAGCTAATTAGATTCCTGATTCAGATTTATTCACAGTAGTAAATACACCATCTGCACGTGTTTCTCCAACGGAGCGACACTTGTACATCATCTTTGCTGTTTAGAGGATTCGCCTCTCTTTAAATTGTTCATATTTTCTGATTTAGTAGATGAGTTATTGAAAACTACCTCTTACATTTAACTGGAAACTACTGGAACTGTCATGAAATGTAGCACACTTCTGATGGTATAATGGCCTAGAACTAATTAAATTCTGAATACAATGGAATATACAGTTTTGGACAAACTAATGAAATGGTTGCACACATGAATTCATTGCAAATAAAACTGCTATTTTACAAATTTTTATGTGTATTAGAAACTTCCTTGTTTTGATGCTGCCTCTGATCTTAAAAGAAAATGAGGAGACAGTGTTTCAGCAGAAATTGATGAGCCTGTCAGGAATTCCTTGCTTGGTGAGGGGCACTTCCTGCCATCCCTAACCCTAGTGCTAGCAGGGACTGTGTAGGTGGGAGTCTGTGCTGAAATATCCAACAAAGTATTTGTTAGCGTCTCTCATCAGGGTTGATAAAATCTGCACTTTTCCAAATCCAAGTTCCTGCGAGAAGTAACTTGCTCTCACTCCCTGTCATTCTCTCAGCAAGTGACTACTTTCCAGAGCACTCTCCAAGGCTGTTTTTTTGACAGAGAACTGCCCAGGAACCCTTTGGAATGAAACAGTGCTCAAACTTAGGACTTCGAAGAGGGCAGTATGGGAACCCCCCAGCCTTAGACTACCATCCTAATTAATATTGCATAAACAGGGATTTGAGTTGTAAAAAACCCCTACATTTTGCAGTTTAAGATGTGAATAATAGGAAGGAAGCAGGATCTGATGGCTTAGGAAATGGCAGAATTCAGAATACTTGCAGAACTACAAGTTTCTGAGGGTTAATCAGACTTTTTGATGCTTCTTGTCACAGATGGTAGCGGGGATTTGTTAGATACTGATGAGCTATTTAGTCATGTTGTGGGTCTTGTAAATGAGCGTGTAGTGAAAACTCATCTTCATCTGAGGATTTTAAAGTGAGATTGGAAGTGATGCGTGTGAGTGGAGAAGCAACTAACTTGTTGGTATTGGATTTTGGATGAGAGGCCATGAGGAGTGTCAAAACGTGAGTTGATTGAGAAAAGAAAAAAGATCCACATTGGGAAAGAGCAAAAGGTAGACAGCAGAAGCAAGATTGAAAGGGCAACGGAAGATGAAAATACCAATTGCTTTAATTGAAGGGATGAACAGAATTTCTGGCTAGTTCTTGTTTTGCTTTAAATGGCGTGCCGTGACTCACGTAACAGCAGAATAGGATGTTTAAATGTCATGGTTTGATCAGAATCAAGATGTGTTTACACTGGAATGCAGAATATGCTGTGGAAGCTCCACTGCAGTTTCAGCTACCAACCCTAACCGTTTCTATTCCTGTTGTTTAATTAATTATTTTTGTTCTCTTTGTAAACACGGGTTTTCAGCAAACTGTATTTCAACTAATTGCTTTCTCTGGTTCTGCAGATGTGGATGAATGTCAAACTGGTGTACACCGTTGTGGCGAGGGGCAGATTTGTCATAATCTTCCTGGGGCTTATCGCTGTGACTGCAAGATGGGATATCAGTATGATGCATTCAGCAGAAGCTGCATTGGTATGTAAGGCACAGGATGAGATGAAACGGCTGATTGATTGAGCCTTGGACCTCAAGGCAGTGTTTAGCACCATTGGAGTGTGCAGTTATTAGTTCTGCAGTGCAGTGCCTCGAAAGATAATGGAATCACCTCCAAAGCAGCAGTCCTCCAACGCGACCAGCCATTCAGAGCTCTGCCAGTCCGTGCTGTGATTTCTGACCAGGTGCCCTTGGTTTAGTTTAGCTGCAGGTTATCAAAGTGACCTGCAAAGTGCTTTCCTATGGGTCGCGCTTCTGCTGCTGTAGAAATTCATCTTTCTTAAGATTTCACAACTTCCTTCATAAGCGACTGTGATACGGCACTTTGTATTGTATCGCTGCAGCGCACCGATTAGAGCACAGAGTCAGACAGTAAAAACCCTGAGGTTGCAGCGTTTCATGCTCAGCAAATCAATCTCTGGCAATTTCTAAAATATCCTTCTGTGTCTTGTTTACTGTTTTGTTTCTGAGTTGACTGTATATTTGCTTGTTACGCTGGCAGATATAAATGAGTGCTGGAACTACCCTGGACGCCTGTGTCAGCACACATGTGAGAACACCCCCGGGTCCTACCACTGCACTTGTTCTTCCGGTTTCCGCTTGTCTTATGATGGGAAGCACTGCGAAGGTACCAGACACTTTTAACAGGAAGAAGACATGGCAGTGTGAATTAAGGGACTTGAGGGTAGTTGACGTGAAATATAAATACAGTAAACCCATGATTTATATATGCTGAAATTTGCAGATGAGAGCCAACAAGGTCTCCTCTTTCTTTCTATCCCTCATGTACTTTGTCCTTTCCCTCCAGATGAGGGAAAAAGGGAACATAAAAAAGCTAGAGTAGGACACTTTTCATTCAGATTTTAATGAAGATGAAACTTGTTAGTGATGAAACTTGAAAAAACTGGTTTTGAATTGAATAGAAATTTTTTAAGTTCTCCATGATTTTTTTTAAGGCAGTGGTTACATGCAAGGCCCGAAGCGTGTGTTTGCATGTGTATGTGTTTTCACTGGTGTGTGTAGACATGGAAGTCAGGTGCAACAGACATCCTCGCGCTCCTTGGCTTCCTGCCTGGGGAGCAGAAGCATCTTCCTGGGACAAATGAGTCCATTCTTATTCACGCTGACCAGAAAGACATGGTAGCTGTTCTCAGGGGCAAGAAATGATAGAAGAGAGTGTTCTGAACTATTGTGGCACTGTCTGTGGGTTTGTCTTTGGATACAGATGTGAATGAATGCGAGACTAGTCCCTGCAGCCAGGAGTGTGCCAATGTTTACGGTTCCTATCAGTGTTACTGCAGGCAAGGTTTCCAGCTGGCAGATGGCTGCTTTGTGGGGTTGAGTTAAATATGTGCGGGCACTTTAACTGTCAGGACTGTAACTCTCAGCAGCACCCAGTGCTGCAGGTGATGCCTAGCTCTGACTGAGTTACACTGTGCTGCAGAACCTTCAGAAGGTAACTCCAGCTATTGGAAAACGCAGTTCGTTTTCAGGCCTCCTACCTGGGGCTGGAATACACTTGTGTGACCATAGAAGCGGTGAGGTTATTGTTTTGTGGGGCTAGAGGTTACGATGGAAAAAATTAGGAGGGAAGATATGTTTACCTATATTGCACCTATTAAAGCCTCCACTCAGCCACACTTGAGCGAAGGCTTGCCCTTCTGCTCATAGTGGGGGAATGAGAAGTGAAGTCATCAGAATGGAGCAGGAAAGGGTTTTACCTGCTTTATAGTTACTGAAACTGTCACATGTGAGAGTGTCTATTTAATAAATGATGAAGAAACCCATTTTCTTCCTAGCACGAGGAAGCCCCCAAAGCAATCCTAGAAGAATTACAGAGGTACCAGAGAGAGTTTGTCAAAGTGCCCGAGACTTGTTCTTTTCCATGAGTCCCTACTACTTGAAATCAGTATTTTTGGGTGCAGTCTGGCTCAGCATTTCAGAAAGCACCATCAGCAGTCCTAGAGCAATGTTAAACTTTCATGGTTGTGTTCTTGTTTAACAGTATATTATAAATGTGTCAGATAAGAATTTCCTTCTACAGCCTCCCTTTTTGGACTTCTGTTATTCTGTGTTTTCATATGTTTGTAATTGTGGGTTTTTTTCCCAGATATCGATGAGTGCACACAGAGTGCAGGCATTCTTTGTACTTTCCGCTGCATGAATGTTCCTGGCAGTTACCAGTGTGCTTGTCCTGAGCAGGGATATACCATGGCTGCAAATGGAAGAACCTGTCGAGGTAATGAGGAGTTTAGGAACTGAAAGTATTATGTCATGAAGCTTTAATCCTTGGAGGGAACTAAGCCATTATGGTGGTTCAGTCAAATCTCCATGTTTTGTATTAATTGCTGTTAAAAAGCCAGTATTTGACGAAGTTGCCAAATATTGGTAGCAGCAATGTCATCTTTTTCCTGTGTTAGAAAGGTACTGCGGCAACTCAGCTGTCAATGTGAACTAATTGTTTAAATGACTTCCAAAGGGAACCCACTTCATCATTCAGACTGGGGCACTGGATTACTTGCATGAGCTGTGTGTGCACCTTGGCGCAGGAGTGAGTGATCTGGTTTTTTAGAGGAGCCAGATGCAGAAATCTGTGGCTTCATTATGAGTTGCAGTTTCCTGCCCCAGAAACTGCAGTGAATGTAGGAGCTGTAATGGGGACTTGGACATCCAGAAGCCTGCCACCTAAGCTTACTTATGTTGGCGTTAGTAAATGTTACGTGTAAATGACGTGTCCTCTCCCCACATGCCCCTTTTCTCCAGAATCACAGAAATGTCTTGTGTGTGTCTGGTGCTTTTCATCTGGTGTGCTGCTGTCTGGGTTTGAAGTAAAAACCTCGCAGGATGCACCGACTGTGTAATGGTGATTGAAGAGCTGATGGCTGTTACGTACCCTGCATGCCTTCCTGCAGTCGGCTACGCTAACTACCAGGCATTTCCTGCTCTTAGTCTTTCAGGAACCCTTCACATAACTTTTGGTTATGTATCCCCTATGCTTAAATTCTCTTCTCAGTGGTAATGACAGTGAATTTACACTGCGTAAGCCGTGAAGGGGCATGGGCATACTTGATCCTGACCTTGGAGCGGAGGAACAGACCAGATGACAAAATATTTTAAAATATTTTTTGAAAGGTGTTTTTCAGTATGAATGTAGTTATATCCTTCAAACCCTTACATAAAAGTTGACTTTAGAAAACTGCAGCTATAACCCTCCTCAGGTTTTGTTTGTTTTCTTTTTTCTTGTTAACTTTGAGTGCTGGCATGTTAGTTGCCACCTCTGCCAGCAGCGAGGTTTGAGCAGAGGACGTCTTCCGGAGTGGGAGTCACTGCATTAATTGGCCAGCACAGCCACCCCGTGCACACCCAGCACGCTCCCAGCGCTGGAGGTGGTGGAAAAAGGTTTGCCACAGGACCTGTGGACCGCGCTTACATTGTTTGGTGTGAAATCCTCCTGCATGCTCGCCCTGTCTGTTGTACAGAGTAGCCCAGCCAAGCGGGCTATGCACTGACACGTGGCAGAGCTGTTCGAAGTGCCTGTGCCAACTGGTACGTGCTCCTTCCTCAGAGGGTGAGGTTGGTCTGCTTGCAGAACTTACCGCCTGCGCCGCAGCTCTGTGCATTTAGTCAGGCGCTGGGAGTATCCCCTGGGCACAGGCCCTTTTTTTTGAGCTCTGCAAGTGTGTAGTTACAAGTTTGGGCAGGCTTATGTGTTGGTGTGTCTCTGAAAACACGCCAGAGAAGCAGTCTGAAGTGATGGCAGCTGACCTGAACTCAAGATTACGTTGGTTTCCACCAGCTAAAGATCTGGCCCCAGTCGCTCATCATCTGACCAGTTCTTCAGTGTTCCTGGGGGTACTTCGTGTACCCTCTTTTTCAAACCGATGAGTTGCATCTCATGTAACAGCATCCTGACATAGGAGTATCTTTGGAGAAGCTGCTGATGGGATTTTGCAGCACAGCCAGACGGGTGAAGTGAGTGCTTTCATGACAATGATTGCAATATGGAAGAAATTTTCCTTTCACCTAGGGGCACTCTGAGAATCAGCAAGGGATTTAACTTACTTTGATTCTCTCCTACTTCCTATTGAATACTTTTGTTTGCAAGACTTTTAAACCAGTGGGTTCAGTGTATGAGATCAGTTCTCAGCCCAGGGGAATGGAGGGAGTGGGAGGTTATGGTTTTCCTCTATGAGTCTCTCTCCTCTGTGACAATTGGCAGAACTGCAGAGCCCTACAGAGTCCACGTGGTTTGTCTGTTAGCATTTATTTCATTTTAAAGCCTCCGTGCGTTGTCTAGACATTTGGGAGTACACAATGTGACTGCGAGATCCTTGCCAATGTTTTCTGCTCAAGCTGGATCCTTGTTATTGCATCTGGTTTTCAGCATTTTAAGGCCCATGGCTTGAGCTTGTGCGTGTGTATTTAGGTAACGGCGTTTATGCTCTAGGCCATGAAGTGTCTCTGAGCTTTAAATGCTATTTTCTGTCTTTTGCAACATTAATTCTCATTACAGGGAGATACTTATATTTAACTTAAATTTTCAAGAATGTGTGTCTTACTCTAAAATGTTGTTCTTATGTTCCCATATTTCATAACAGTCAGGCTGGTGAAGCTTACATCTCCTGGATCATGCAGCTGTACAAGTGGATACTTTGCTTTGTATTTGCCCCCTCCTTTAATCCAGACAAACTTTCACGCGTAGATAAATTCTTCTCCTGGCATAGCCCAGCTTTCTCATTTCTCAAAATGTCAGTGAGAAGGTCCTGTTGGCTTTTAGCATGGATTGGTTATGTTCTGATGGCACTTGTTCATTCCCAAGGGCTAACTTCTGTCACAGCAGGCTGTGAATGGGTGATGTGTAGGCAGACATCGAGCGTCCCTCCATCCATTCTGTGTGTTCGCTCCGGGGCGGGGAAGGCCTCTGCAGACGAGGTATTGGGGGAAGGCGTGTCCACTTGGGACATGCGGACGTTTTACAGCCTTGTCCATGAAGAAGGAGCCATTGCAGTCACACACACATCATGCAGTGCACGAGGGGTTTACAGCAGTTGCCACCTTTCCTCAAGGACTGTCCCTTGTATGCAGGGTCTGCACCACGCACAAGTCCATGCACGTGCTCTGCTGCTCTCTGAAACCAGTTAGATGCTTCCCTGGCTACTGAGCTTATCACACACGCACCGTGCTCACATGCTGAACAGCTTGTTTAGGGACATCACACATGGCACAGGCTAGCTCTAAGCATGAAACTGGTTCAGGGAGTGTCAGTGACCTGTGAAGCTGTAAAAATTGGCCCATCACTTTCAGGAAACTAAAACTATCTTCAGTCAGAACAGCTGTGGAAAGCTTACACAGTGGCTGCGGGGATGAGCAGGTTGGCTGGTCTGACACAGAGTTCCACCTCCTTAGACTCCCGCTATCTGGTTATTTTATCCTGTTTCCTTTTAGCCTAGTTTATTCTACTACTTACAACACATCTCTGACACCTCAGGAGCAAGGAAGAATATGACAACACAGGCGATTCTGTCTAGAGGTTCATGTTTGTTTTGAACCTTGAATGTTTTGTTTCATTGCAGTGGAGAGTGGCCAGACTGGAGGATCTTGGGTTTTGACAACTGCTTGTTCCTTCTCATGTTTATTTTCCAGTAGAAGTTAAAACCTGTATCAGATGTGCTTAGAATGAGAATAGCTCGATTCACAGGAGTGTGCAAATGTTTGCAAAGGTCAGAAAGAAACAAACTCCCCCTGTGGTAGAAGGCCAGCCCTGGCCATGCTGGGTGGCTGCCGCTGGCCACAGTCTACCAGGCAGGGGAAGGACCATCAGACAGCATGAAAAGGACCAGGAGCTGCTTGTAGGGAAGAGTGGGCTCCCTTCTTTATTGCTGAGTGGTACTGTCATCTCTGATTAACTGATAACGTCAAGGAGGGGAATTTCTTTCCACAGAAGACATGAATTTAGCCGAACTGGAATCGGCGTGAATTTCCCTGTCAGTCCAACTGCCAGGGAGTGTCTGTGCACAGAGGTGAACCTGACACACCTCACCTGAATGTGCCTCTCACCGCCCAGGCACTTCCTCCGGGTTCTCGCAGTGCTGGTCTGCAGGCACAGGTACTCAAGAGGTAACACACAGCAAGGGAGCGGTGAAGAGAAGCACCCTCAGCTTGCAGAGTCAAACCCACAGGCTCCTCTTGTTTCTCATGCACACGGAGTCTCATCAGCACGTTGCAGCCCATAAATTGTGATTTCTTCTTACTTTTGAACTTAACATGTCTTCTCCCTTGTTTTTCTTCATGTTAGATATCGATGAATGTGCAATAGGAACCCATAACTGTTCAGCTGCAGAGACTTGTTATAACATCCAGGGCAGCTTCCGCTGCCTGTCCTTCGAGTGCCCTTCCAACTACAGGAAAGTATCCGACATGTAAGTATCGCCATCGCCACACAGCCCGCAGCCCCGTCCGGCGGCCGTGGGTGCTGCAGGGTGCGATAGTCTGTGGGCAGCTGTAAGTACGCAGAGCCCTAAGGCAGCACTGGGGTACCTGGAGCACAGAGACTTTCCGTCTGGCTTTGCCTCTTCCTTCTTCCAAGCCCTAGAGCCCTCTTTTGCCCTCCAGCTGCTGCTACAACAGCAGTCATCGGAGCTTCCAGCTCTACTTGCCGCAGCTCTAGAAAGACTCTGTTTAGAATTAAGTTAAAAAACCCAAAGATCTTCTATGCTGCTTGTGTCATTGGAGTAGCTGCCAGGGTGCTCAGTGCACCGCTTCTGCAGTGGTTTTGGGGCTCACTGCTTAATATTCAGATTGCAATTCCTCAGAGTGCTGAAACATTGAAGGGGAGCAGGACAGTGAGCTTGCTGGGCTACAGGGGTCTGGGAATGGCACACCCCCACCGCTCCCAGCTCCTCAGCATCTGAGGCTCTGGACCCCCAAAATCTCCCCACCCATTTCCTGCCTCAGTGGGTGCCAGCACTTTGGGAAGCCATATTCAGTTGCTTATGGCTTAAAACATGCTTTTCGTGCCTTATAGAATTGATCAGCTTTGCAAGTCAAGGAGCTTGTTTCCCATTCCCATGATTTTAGATACCTTTTTAAGTGTTTTTCTTCCTATTTTCTTAGAGCACTGTCCCAGGCTTGTACTGTCTGTGATGGATCACAGGCGCCTCTTCCAGGCTCTGTGCTGCTTGCAGCGTGACACTGGCTCTTTCCTCGTCGTGGAGCTTCCCAACACAGCTCCCCGCATCCATGATCTTTTCCTTACACTGTTGTACTCTGACAGTTGTATTGCGATAAATGCTTTATGGGCACTGTAAAAACAGGACAAGCAGCTGGTGATTACACAGCTGAAGTTTGGGACTCCTGTTTGTCTCACACGTTTGTAATACTCTGCAGGACGTACAATTTTCGCTGCTAATGGACACTGAATGTGCTTCCTTTCTTGTCTCTTAGGAGGTGTGAACGAATCAGTTGCTTTAATTATCTGGACTGCCAAAATACCCCGGTGCGCATTACCTACTATCAGCTGAACTTCCAAACCAATATTGTGGTCCCAGCTCATATTTTCCGTATTGGACCGTCGCCTGCCTATGCTGGAGACAACATCATCCTTACCATCAACAAGGGAAATGAAGAAAACTACTTCAGCACTCGAAGGCTGAACTCGTACACGGGTATTGTCTATCTTCAGCGGCAAGTGAAAGAGCCTAAAGACTTTTTGCTAGATGTTGAAATGAAACTGTGGCGTCAGGGAACATACACTACTTTTCTTGCCAAAATTTACATTTTCATCACAGCTCATGCATATTGAAGCATGTATTGACATTGGATTTTATGGGTGCTATGCTCTTTAGCTGTTCTACCAAAGCTTAATACTGTTGAACTGCCATTTAATGTATCTAGCCTTTGTATTATTTTTCTATCATTGCTCTAAACTTTTTTATTGGTTGTGTAAATTAAGTTAATTTTTATCTTTATTTTTGTTTTCTTATGCAATTCTTTACATCGTCATTTGACAATGAACGAAGGAAGGGTTAGAAGGGCAGTACGTTCGTTGTGTTAAACGCTGGAACCTTTTCAACAGCAGAAATTACTGTTAGGTTTAGTCACATCCGCAGGGTATTGCACTAGAAGGGAAAGGTGTTCACTTGGCAGTATTGGGTTTTGCCACAAAGGGAAAAAACCTTGAGCAATTTATCTTTATTACACAAACTTATGGTTTGGCCCAACCACTGACTTCACTGAGGTTTCCCGGCGTTGAGATGCTGTGTCAAAGGCCGTCCGTGTACACTGGCGGTTAGCTCACCTCATATTACCCCTTTATTTTCCTCCTTCCAACTTTCATAATATGTTGCCTAAAAATATATATAAATAAAACAAAATTCCACCAGTGAAAAACCCTATGAATGAGTCTTGCTTTAGCTGGTCTGCTCACATGCTAAATGTTTGCAAGACCAAGGCCTTAAGAGAGCGTCACGGCTGAGGGTAGAAGCTCACACTGCCATTTTTAGTAGTTGTCTTTACAGATGCTGGGATTCCGCTCTATACAGACTCTTTGTGTTTAGGTAACAGTAAGCGCAGGTTTGATGCATTAGGATGCTTGAAGGCGTGTCCAAGAGGAAACACAGAAGAAATGAACTACTCGGTTAGTGCTCCTTATTTTAAAGCTTGGGTGTGCCACTGAGGAATCACTTGCAATTTTAAATAAACAAAAAGGGGTGTTGCTTCTCTTCTTTGGGAAAATTACTCCAGTTGCATTCCGAAATGACGCAGAGAGAGGAAAATGCTAGTTAAATTGGCGGTTTGTATTATGCCATTTAGAAAAATAGCACAACCGCCATTTTGAGCTAGATTTCCTCTGGTTCTACAGGAAACTGGATGAGGTCCCAAATTTGAAGGCATAGTATAATTGAAGTATTTGTTAGAATTTAGAAATGAATATCACAACTTCTTTAAACTTCTTTATGGCAGGGTTGCTTTTTTTTTTTCCTCCCCAAAAAGCAAAAAAAGCTCCAGTGTTGAAATTTTGTGAGCTTCCTTTTTCCCAGCTGTAATTATTCTGCAAAATGTTTTTAACGGAAAAGCATAGCTGCGCTCGATTGATGCTTGCTACGCTGCGGTGTAATAATCGTGGAATCACACGATCTGAGGACACTGGGTTGAAAGGGGCCTCAAGGATCATCCGGTCCAACCTTTCTTGGCAAAATACTTATCTTTTTGACAGGCGATCTTACTTTGAACCAGTGTGAACACAGAAAAATGGAGACATCAAATCTCACGGCTTTTTTATGCCATAATCAACAATTTTATTATGATGTAAGATATTTGTTTGAACTGGATCTTAAAATCCTGTAAACGCCACCTCTGTAGTGGGCAGGGAGACGTTCTATATTCACTGTATCCCAAGGCCAGTTTCTGCCCCTTCGAGTCACTTCTTTAATTGGGACTCATCGATAATAAAGTGCAAATCTTTCTGTGTCTGACATCATAAAGACCCATTACCAGGGAAAATGTTTGGCTATGCCCCAGCTGTAAAATGTGGGATATCTGTGAGTTTCCATGCATCAAGTTTTCTTTGGTTTTTTTTCTATGAAAATAATTCTGTAAAAGTGATCTTCTTCCATCCACCTTTTGTTTTCCACACGTAACAGGTTCATAAGCGTGTAGCAGGGAAGTGCCCACTGGGAAGCACCTGTTTATGCCGTGTGGCGTTTCAGCTCTGCGTATCTCACAGCTACAGGCCTGGCAAGATGGAGAGGCAGCCGCAGAAACGAGCAGGAGAGCCTCCCAGACCCATTATGCCGTGTGTGTGCTCAGTGGCGATACATCTCTCCATGCCCCAGTGGGGCACATCAGGAATCACTGAAACCCAGAGTTTTCCATCAGCATTAGTATTTGATTCAGCGTAAATGATATTCAAGGCTCGAAAGTCTTTCTTGTCAGAGAACAAACGGACAAGCCATTTGTTACTTGGAGACCTTTTGCTGACTAAAACCAGCCACAGTCAATCATAGTAAGGATCTGGCAGTTTGTAACACCGACTTTTCATTTTCTAGACAGGTAATTGATGAAGGAAGTTTTCGGAAAGGCTTAGCATACTTTTACAAGTAAAATGCTGTGTTATGAAAAGCCCTGTCTTCCTCAGCGCTGTGTCCTGTAGGCATGCAGAAGGGTTAGCAGTAGTCGCTCGGTGCAACTGGTCAAAGCCATGGAAAGGCTTATGGTGGATCATTTCCCATTCTTCTGTTCCAGAAATAACCAGAGGAATCTCTTGCCTCTTCCCAACCCAAAGCGTACAGCCGTTCGGTGTCACAGGAGCTGCAGGGCAGGGACAATCAGCACTGCATTCTTTGCTTTTTCTTTAGAGAGTGCTCATGGTTGCACTTGGACAGACACATCCGCCAAAGACTCGCTGACTGGCGAGCAAGTGCTTTCGCTAGGCCGCAATGGCTTTGGGCTGGAATTTTGGTCTCCTCCAACTGGTCTGGGTCCTAGAAGGCCCAGTTCCCGTTTTCAGGAATGTTCCCTCCCCTTTATTTGGCTGTTTGTAACCTACTCAGAGGATGAGTGTGTGTATCCACTTAGACCAGAAGGTCTCACTGAAAGGAGTTCAGGCCTGGCCTGTACCTTTATGGCCTCTTACACTTCCGTAAGACATCAGTAGCTTTCCTGAATTCTCTCTCCAACAGCCACGTTTTTCTTTCTTGGTTTTTTCTTTCTTCATTTCTAGCAGGTGAGCTCCCCCCACTGATGGGGAGTAGGGGGGCACGACGTGGCTCTTCGGCTGCCTGTGCCTCTCCTGGCTGGTGGGGCTGTGCAGGTGCTCGGCAGCTGGCAGCGCACAGCTCTGGGGCCCGGGCGGAGGGACCCTTTCTCCTTGGCACCCCCTGGTTCGCTGCCTCGGCTTGTGCCTTTGCTCCCTCACCCGGCCCTGGGGGCTGTGCTGCTCTGTGCAGTCCACCCGTGCTGAAAGCTGCGTGTCCAGGGCAGAAAGCAAAGGAGGAAAACAATAAACTGACAAAAATAAAGGAAGATTTTACACTTGCACTGTGATAGGCGGTTGTGCTGCTGAATTTGGAGCTTTGTGGTGTCCCGAGGTAAAATCTTGTGTGTGTGATTAAAATTGCTGTCCCTCCTGGGGCAGTAGGTTTTGTACTTCCTCTCAGACCTTTCCAGGGCGAGGAGCTGCTTTTATCTGGCCTGCAGGATACAGGGAGCCCGTTGCAGTGTCTTTGTCCCCCTCCTTGTTCTATGTAGCTCATGTGAGAGGCCCTGGCTGCTCTTCCACATTCATTTTTCTTTTTTTTTAATTGTTGTTTCCATCTTTCCATTGCTCCCACCCATGCCATGAGGAAGAGAAAGTTCAGCCAGAAAATTCAGGGAGAATTAGGATTCTGGAGTAAAAACAGATTTTGAGGTTAAATAAAAAATATCTCCCCGCTTTCAGTGTTCTCTGCATCACAGAGACATTCGTTTTGAAGTGGCTATTGAAAACCAGGATTTAATTATTCCCAGTTTCAGTCATGTGAAGCTGAAGTCACAGACTTGAGCCTTTTGTCTTCTAAACACAATTCTTTCCCTTGCATGTTCTCTAGAAATAGCAGCCAGTGTGTAGGACTGTTCCAGAGCTTTGGAGCCCTTCAGATAAGCTTCACCTTTCCAGGACCGCTGCCTGGCATTCCCTGGCACGCGCTGCTGGAGAATCTGCCTGGCAGCAGCAAGCCAGCCCAGTGTCACTCCCGATGCCGAGGCTGCCCCGCGGGCTCTTTCATCGCTTCTGACAGTGTGGGAATCAGAGAATATCTCGCGCTGGAAGGGACCCATGAGGATCGTCGAGTCCAGCTCCCAAAAGGGAACGGCTTCTTCCAGCTGCACCCCAATTCAGAGGCTTGCTTGGCCCAGGGACCTCTCAGGCAAGAAGCTGACATGGCCCTCCTGTGAGCTGAGGGTCCCGTTAGAGCAGGGTTAAAACCTGACACATCTGCTGTGGCTTTGCTTTTATCTGGGGTTGGAGAGGAAGAGGATGGCGCTGTGGTGCCCTACGTCCTGTGAGGGGAGGAGATCCTTTGTACATTAGTGAGCCTTCTGTGTAGTAGCCAAGAATTGTGCGAACTGCACAGATTCACAGCAGGATGGTTTAATTGCTTGGAGGTTGGGATGGTGGAATGGTAAATGGTGGGCTGGGGCAACTGAACTAGTGATGCAGGGCTTGGGGGTCTGCAGCGGCAAAAAGGGCAGGCTAGTCGAAGGGACCAGCCCGGTGGGAAAGTAACCCCGGCTTCGCCCCGGGTAGAGAACTGGACGCAGCTGAGATGCCTTCTGCTTGCACGTGATCCAGGGCTCGGTTAGTCAATGTACAGCTTTGCAGAAGGCAGATGGAAAGGCGTTCTGTCCGGGGTTCCCGGAGATGTGTTTCATTGGTAACACTCTGTAAATAAAGCATTAAATCACATCTCACAGAGAATACCAAGTTTCTGAAGAGGAATACTGGTTGTGGAAAGGGCCATGTGGAGGAGTCAGAGTTTACCAAATTGTTCCCAGCACAAGTGGTGAATGCTATCCTTGGGGAGGAAGAAGGGGGAGGTGGGGAGGAGGGGAATATCTGAAATCTAATTTTATTTTGGAATAATAGCAAAATGTGCAGAGTGCTAAACTCTACTCGATTCTTGAAAGTGCCATCAATTCTAGAAAGTAAATACAAAATATTAGTAACATGTTAGTAACAATAGCTGATCCAATTTAAGGAAAATACATGCAAAATAGAGACAAAATGCCTGGAGAGAATGGGAGGGTGGAGGTGCCTTTCTCTGCCAACAAGGGTGCCTTAGGGCAGCATGGGCTCTGCTGGGCTACACTCCAGAGAGGGTTTGTGACTCACTGTGGTGGCAGAGTTACTGGTTGCAGCCAGATGCACCATAGAAGACGATTGATCCTCCCTGGCATTGATGGCCAGGAGAGAAAAATAGAGGTGGGATACTTTCAGTATGGGAAAAAGTCTGATAATCTTCAGCGAAGTACATTTGGAGTGGAGCATCACTATTTTTGGAGTTTGAATAAACTATGTAAACTAGAGATACAGGGTTGATAAACACAAAGCGATCTTTTGGAAGTCACACACCACAATGAAAAGT